TCTTTTATTACAGTGGTCTCATGCAGTATTTGTCCTTTTGTGGTTGATTAACTTCGCTCAGTGTAACGTCCTCCAAATGCATCCAGGTCATGAGGTGTTACACAGTTTCTTTATTTGGACTTTACATTCTTGGTGGGTAATGCCTCATTGCCATTGAGTCGATGCTGATGTACGGTGACCCAGTAGGACAGGGTAGAACTGCTCCTGTGAGTTTCCAAGACTGTAACTCTTTGTGGAAGTAGAAAGCCCTGTCTTCCTCCCAAAGGCAATGTCTAGTATATAGTAAATAATAAATGTGTGAGCGACGAGTAAAAGAATGAATGGGAGAAATGTGGTCCAACTGCTTCCTGGAATGTGTCCTATGGACTTCACTCTGAGTTCCATGTTTTAATTCCTAGAATTCAACTAGCATAGGATGTCAGTGAGAGATGAATAATGTGGCAAAGGTGGTAGTTCGAAGGAGGCCAGGGGTGGATCACAAAACACACAAGGGAGCACGGCTTACTAATCTGTAGTGGAACCCATGTGAAAAGGTTCACCACAGATTAGTAACTGAGCTTGTGCTTACCTTGCTTGCTGACTAGGTACTGTGTCCCTGTCAAGTACTGTACATTTGAAAAAAGGCTTTGATTCTGCAGGAAGGTGCTGTGGGGTTGAGAGAAAGACAGATGCCCATATCTAGATGCAAAATCTGTGCTGTGGTGGAGAAAATTAAGTGAAATTGTTCTTGCTTCTTGGGTAATCTAATACTGCAGGACAGACCAAGAACAACAGAGCTCCCTCAGCAGAAACTGTTCTTCCTGTTACTTCCAATGGAGCCAGGCACACTGGAAGGGCCTGGGGCCTGGAGAATCATCCTCTCATCTCTGGGCATTCCAAAGGCCCTCCAGATACACTTCCCTCTTGCCCATCTTTCAACATCATCTTGCTCACTTATCGAGCCCAAAGAGCTAAGCTGCCTCTCTCGCTCTGCTTTTCATGAGGCCAGAGACCCCTGTGAGGCATCAGAAATGTTTGTGCCCATTTACCAGCACTGATGCCAGCCTGCCACCGACTGACTTCTAGGTGAAGATCCAAAAGCAATTCTGACCTGGTTGGGTACTGCCAAGCATGGCCTGAGTGTTACTCTGTTCTGCAGCTCACCTGAGTATTATTCGCAGGAAGTTAATGGCTCTTGAAGAACACATTCAGATTAGCTCTCTGAAGTCAAGTGGCTCAAACTCCAGCCCTCATCTGGGTCTGGGTGCTAGATGCCTCTAAACCAAGAATCTGGGTCAAACTTAGGCATTTCCTGAGAGAGTTTCTGTAATATGCTTGGCTTCTTTTTTTTTTTTTTTTAAACGAAAGCATTAAATGATTAAAACTCCGTAGGTTCCATCAGGTAATCTGGTCAAAGGACCTAGAATCATCAAGGCTTCTGATATCTCAGACAAAGCATGGGACTCTCCGGGGAAGGCGTCCAAGTCTCCACGTGCCCCTGTACCACGGCCCAGGGGGCCTTCACCCCCCCACACCTCCCGTGTGTTGTTGTTTTTGTAGGGAAGGAGCCACCTGAACCATGAGAAAGAGCTGTTTGCCCAGGACCATCCTGAAGTGAAGTCCCTGGAGGAGGTGGTGAGGCTGGTGAAGCCCACGGCCATCATAGGTAGGAGGGAGGAGGAGACCCAGTCCCACGAACCTTCCTGACCTGCGGGTGGAGAAAGTGAGGCTGAGAAAGGGAGCAGGCATAAACCAAGGAGACGGGCTTTCTCCATCCTATTGTAACTCAATGCCACACATTGGTGGGCGGGGGGAGGTTGGTGGTTGTTTTTTATTAAAAGATCATGTGATTGGGGCCTCATAAAACTCTTATTACACTCCATACATCAATTGTATCAGGCATATTTGTACGTATGCTGCCATCGTTCTTTTCTAGACATTTACTTTTTATTGAGCCATTGGTATCAGCTCCTCTTTCCCCCCACCCCACCCTCGTGTCCCCTTGATAGATTATAAATTATTATTATTTTCATATCTCACGCCAACTGCTGTCTCCCTTCCCCCATGGTTTCTGTTGTTCTCCCCCCTGGAGGGGGTGGGTGGTGGTTATTGAGGTTGGTTCCCCCTTTCTCCCCTCCCTTCCCCCGCTTCCCCCTTCCCTCCTGGGGTCCCTGTTCCCACTCCTGTTCCTGGATTGCCACGCACCTCTGTTGAGTGACTCTTGTATCAAAACCTTGGAAACCAGAGTGGGAGTTGAGGGACGCAGACTGACACCGTGCAGAGTGAAAGCTGAAATAAGCCTCAGCCCCTCCCGCCGGGGGTCCTGGCCCCTCTCCCTGCGCTGTGGGCGTAGCCCGCACTCCCTGGCACTGCCCGGGAAAGCCTGCACAGCTGTGTCCTCACTGGGCAGGAAACTCAAGCGGACCACGCGTCCCTTCTGCCCGTGCCCACGTCTCTGTGGTTGGGCTTCGTTTTCCTGCCCACCACCAAGGGAGGCGTGGTGTGTTTGCGAACGCTAGGCCTGCCCACTGCGCGCTCTTCCCTGCAGGTGTTGCTGCCGTCGCAGGAGCCTTCACGGAGCAGATTCTGAGGGACATGGCCTCCTACCAGGAGCGCCCCATCATCTTTGCCCTGAGCAACCCCACCAGCAAGGCCGAGTGCACAGCCGAGAAGTGCTATCGGGTCACTGAGGTCAGCGGGAGTCCTCCCTTCCCCAGGCCGAGAGGACAGACCACCAATCACTTTGAGTAACCCTATGCGGGCCAGGGGGAAAAATCCCCACATCTCTGAGCAGCAAACTAAGGTTCAAAACGAGGAAGTCACTTAGCCAAGGTCACAGAGCTGAGGAGGAATGGAGCTGGAACTACAAGCCAGGTCGGACTCCACTCCTAAGCTCTCACCCCTTCTGCTAAACTTCCCAAGGTTCCCCCTCGACCACCGAGCGCTTTGACCAGATGCCTAGGCACGTAGTAGACTGTAGACTACCTCCGTACTTAGCATGCCCTGGGCTGGCCCTCCTGGGGGCTGGCAGATAAGACATGCGAACCCCAGCACCTTTCAGGGAGTCCTTGACTGCCGGTTAACTCTCTGAGGGCCCGGCTTTCCGGTCAAAGGAACAAGAGTGCTTTGGCCATCCACCAAGTTCTTGGCGCAGTGCTGGGCACCTGGGAGAGGATCACAAAGAGGCCAACAATTGGGAGTAAGCCTAGGCCACCCTTGCTGCCCAAGGAAAACCAGCCGCAAGCTGTCTCTGGTTTCCTTCCTGCCTCCAGGGCCGGGGGATCTTTGCCAGTGGAAGTCCTTTTCAGAGTGTAACCCTGGACGACGGCAGGACCTTCATTCCTGGGCAAGGAAACAACGCCTATGTGTTCCCCGGCGTGGCGCTGGGAGTCATCGCCGGCAGGATCCGGCACATCCCAGAAGAGCTCTTCCTCCTCACGGCTGAGGTATTGGCCTGCCTGCTCCCTCACCTGCCCCTGAAAGCCCTGTACCCCGAGAGTCCCCTGCTTGGCTCTTCAATCACCAGCCACCAACACTGAATGTAGATGCCTAAAGGTCAAGCTTCCCTCCCGCTCACCTTCTGGCCTGAACTTCTCTAAACCCCACTCAGGACCTTTTGAGAGGGTACAAGGACTAGATTGACAGCCTCGGGAGGTTCTACTCTGTCCTCAAGGGTTGCGATGAGTTGAAATCAACAGGGCAACAAGAGGCTTGGTCTGTATGTGGAGAAGGATAGTGGCAGGAGGCATTGCTCTTTGGCGCTAACCTCCCACAGGCAAGGGTGGTGGCTTTGCATGCCTCAGCCAGTCTCACAGAGCACGAGTCACCCCTGGGCCACAAGGTGGTCCTGACAGCCCTGGACCTGCAGCAACTCCTCTGTGGGCTGGGCAGTGGGAGAGTTGAGTCCCGAGGGACTAGGGGGCGTTTGTTTTGGGGAGGCACAAGCTCAGCTTCTTGCTTTCTGTTCTGTCCCAGCAAATTGCCCAGGAGGTCTCTGAAGAGCACCTGGCCCAAGGGAGACTGTACCCACCCCTCAGCACCATTCGAGATGTGTCTCTGAGAATCGCCATCAAAGTAAGGGTCCCCTACCCCCAGCATCTCGTGGTATGGTCCAACTGCGTTCCCCTCTGTGACCTGAGGACGGCTAGCCCGAGGGCAGCTCTGGAGGCCGGGAAACTCCAGTGTAAGCTGTGTTGCCTGGGACCCAGAGGCAGGGGGAGAAACCCCTGCCCAAACTCATGCCCGGCCCTCAACTCCCACCCAGGCCAGTCTGGGAAAGCTCCTGGTTTGCCCACAAGTGCCAGGCAGAAAGGTCATCAAAGTCCTTGGCCTTATAGACTGGAATGTGAGTGGAATTTTTTTTTTAATGGATCACAAAGGCTCAATTATACAGAAAGGTCAACCTGCACGGCATCATGGGAAAGGCTCAAGCTTTGGGGTCCCAGCTCTGCCCGTCAGCAGTGGAATAACTTGGGCCATTCATTTCACTTCCCTGAGCCTCAATTTCCTCTTTTTCCACAAGGGCCATAAGGCCTCTCCCCAGCGTTCTGGAGAAGATGAAGCGAGCACAAGGAGAGAGCTCCGCACACAGTACCTGTCTGGCCTCGGTACATGGTCACCAGCTCCCTTCTCTCAGAAGGGCTGCAGCCATGGGGTGGTTAGGTCCCTGACCTATTTCAAGTAATAATGACATCCTAGGGACTACACAAGCAGAGCCAGAATGTGGTACAACAAAGGCTTGGCCCAACATTAGGCAAAATCTGGGATCAGCAATCCAGCCCACAGTTCAGCTATGTCCCGTTCAGCTCCCTCCTTTTCTGGAAAACTTAAATGCAGGCTTTTGTAAACCAAATCTGATGCCCAGAAAACAATTTCCCAGATGCTCATCGAATGCAGTCCCTATTCAGGGGACCATGCCTATCACTGGATACTTTTGACCTACATTTATCCACACACTACTGCAGAGGAGGTCTGACTAGCCTCGGCTTACAGATGAGAAAACCGAGGCTCAGCAAAGATAACGGCATGCCTAAGGATCCACGCCCAGTTTGAGCAGAGGCATTAGGCTTGACCTTATGACTCTGGCCCAGTATTTATACAGACCCGCCTGTCCAGGCAGAAAGTTCAAAATCCTCCCTATTCCATGGCTTCCAGGACCACGACTGGTGGGAGGAACTTGTCTGACATATTCCAGGGACCTTCTCCTTCTGTGGGCCCTCAAGCCAGGGACTGCAGAAAGGATCCTCCTGTTCCTCAGTGAAACGTGTTTTTCTCTAGGTCCTTGACTACGCGTACAAGCACGACCTGGCTTCCTCCTACCCAGAGCCCCAGGACAAGGGGGCCTTTGTGCGCTCCCTGGTCTACACTCCAGACTATGACTCGTTTACGTTGGACAGCTACACATGGCCCAGGGACGCCATGAATGTTCAGACGGTTTGATGCGGGCCTGATGGAGCCCAAAGTGGCACCAACAATATAAATGGGTTCCAAAATGGTCCTCTTTGTAACTGTGTTTTTTCCTGTGAACTTCCTGGTGTGCGAGGTGATACTCAAGCATGTGGTAAATGAGAACTTGGAGTTCACGTTTCTCGAACCCTCTTCGGAGTTCCTGCCCAGATATTTCGTGATTCCTTCATGGCCACCTTGGCCCTGTTGGAACTACAGAGCCCTCAGGTAGCCTCCTACTCTAACAAAGTTCAGGTCTGCTGGAGGAGATGAGATCCAGACACAATAGATTTCATTGGGTGGGGGGCGGGATAAATCCATGAAAGCAGTGCCAATAACAATCAAGGGTGTCCACAGGAAGGAGAGTATGTTCTCTGTGGAGCCATAAGGAGGTGTCCAGAGAAGCTGTGAGTTCCAAGAGTGCAGGGTGGATAAGAATCCCAGGAAGATGGAGATAGGGAAGACAGCCACTATCCGAACACATGGTTTAGCAGGGACATCCGTCCCGAGGAAGGAATACGCCCTTCAAGCTCAGCAGTCAGAAAGGCTCCCTTCTCTGTGGGTGCTGGAGTCATTTGTATTCCTTTTTGGCTGTTGCTGCAAGGGAATTCCGAAGTATCTGAGAGGGGAGGTCAGCATACCAAGAAATGTGGAGATGGGTTGGGGGGGATGGTAGGGAGAGGAAGGGGGTTTCAGGAGTAAATGATGAAAGCGGGAGCAGGGAGGGAGGACTAGAATGGATTGTGATTGCATAACTCATCTTAAAGGTGATTTAACCATGGGGGTTGGGGGAGGGGATGCTCTAAAATCAAAGTGGGGGCGATTGTACAATTCTCCTTGATATAACTGATTGAATGAACTATTGAATTATACTGTATGTAGATTATGTGCCAATAAAACTGTTCAAAGAAGAAGAAGAAGATGTAGTGAGGAGGGAGGGAGGCAGTGAGGGGATGAGCAGCATAAAGCGGTCAAGGACGACGTGATTTCCTGTCCTGGTCTGGAACCCACTCTTTCTTTCTTCACTCTACTATGCAGCAGTTCTGCAATCCTGGGCAGCTTCCTTCGGGAGGTGATGTCAGTATGGGCTCGAGTTTCTTAGGCCGTGTTCCGTCTTCACCTCCCTTGTGTTCAGCACATCTCAACCCACAGGAGGGCAGAGGATGTACCTGCAGCCCCTCAGTAATCAAGGACTCTGGTCATTTGCTGCAATCTGTTGGGCTGGCAGCTTCTAACCTCAAATTTTACTTATAATTTACTTACAATAAATCAGGCTCAGGGATCCACTACTGCCCAATCCTGCTGCCAGCTCAACGTCAGGACACTCACTGCCCACCATGAGCAAGTCCTATGTGACCACTTTTCAACAACAGGTTTGATGGACCATGGGGCTTCTAGAAAAGCAATTAGCAGAGACATCAGTCACCCTTATCCAGATCTTACTCTCCAAACATCTGCCTCGTTGGTGCTAGTGCTCAGCCAAGGATATCTTTAGGGAACATCCTTGCTCAATGATTGCTGGAATCATCGAGAATGAAGAACTATTCAGGAGGGAGTTTGAAGACTGAAGCTGTAATCTGAACACTATAAAGCAGGCAAACTTTTATAGGACCTTCCTATGTCATGTCCCACTACACTTCCTTTGTCTGGACATGTAGGGGCTGGAACATGCACAGGGGAAATGCAAAATCCAAAGTTGGTACAATATATGACTTTAATTACTAATTTTATATGGCATGCAAATAAAAAGCAAAGTATGATCCAGAGTCAGAGGGAAAAATTAAACTGATAGAAAATATCACTAGGCATCCCCAGTCAAATTTAGCAAACAGAAGCCTCAAGATGATTATTATGTAGAACAAAATCTTCTAATTAAAACATTGTTTTTGTTGTTTTTTAAGGTTTTCTCTTTTTTATCATTTTATTAGGGACTCATACAACTCTTATCACAATCCATACATTACATCAACTGTGTAAAGCACATTTGTACATTCATTGCCCTCATCATTCTCAAATCATTTGCTCTCCACTTAGGCCCCTGGCATCAGCTCCTCATTTCCCCCACTTCCCCGCTCCTTCCTCCCTCCTCCCTCATGAACCCTTGATAATTTATAAGTCATTATTTTGTCAAAACATTGTTTTTTTTACGTTAAAAAATAGAGAGATGAAATAAAAGTTCACTGGTCTCTCTCGCTTTTTTTTTTTAAAGAAGATAGTACCAACACAAACAAGGGGGTCCCATCCCAACCAAAATTGAAACCAAAGCAAAAGCATTAAGGGCCAAGAAGGCCATGCTGAAAGGCATCCACAGACACACACACACAGAAGATCCACACGACACCCACTTCCAGTGGTCCGAGACACTGAGGCTGAGATGGCAGCCCAAATGCCCTCGAGAGCCCCTCCACGAGAAGCAAGCGTGAGCACGATGCTGTCATCAAGGTCCCCCCCGACCACTGCGTCAGCCATGAAGAAGATGGAAGAAGATGCAGATGTCAAGACCAACAAGCACTAGATAAAACAGGCTATGAGACCGATGTAGCCAATGTCAACACCTTGACCCAGGTCTGATGGAGAGAAGAAGGCATATTTTCAAGTGATTCCTGAATATGAATGATGCTTTAGATATTTCCAACAAAATCGAATCACATTACCCTGAGTCCAGTTGGCAACAAAATTGAATCACCTTACACTGAGTGCAGTTGGCAACAAAATTGAATCACCTTACCCTGAGTCCAGTTGGCAACAAAATTGAATCATCTTACCCTGAATCCAATTGGCTAATTCTAAATATATAAACTTTTTCAATACAAAAAAAAAAGTTTACTACTCATGCTCAACAGCTCAAATGGTGGACTTGAAAACAGATCGATCAAAACTATCCAAATCTAAAAAAGGGAGAAAAAATATTGGAAAATGAACAGCAATTAATAAGCCTGTGGAACACTGCCAATATACACACACTATACAATAAGAGTTCCAGAAGGATTAGAAGAGGCCAAAAAATACCAAAAGAAACAGGATTGAAAACTTGACAATTTGATGGAAAAATATAAGTCTACATATTATAAAAGTTGAACAAATATAGGATAAATACAAGTAAATTCATTCTTAGATACAGCATGGTCAAACTGTTCAAAGACAAAGAAATAATCTTGAAGACAGGGAAAAGAGTAATCGTGTCTGGGGACCTACCAACAGAATTAATAGCTGCGGATTTTTCACCAGAAGTAGTGAAGGTCAAAAGTCATTGGGAAGGTGCTGAAGGGAAAACAAAAAAGTATGACTCTAGGATTCTATATCCAGAAAACTACGCCTCAAAGTGAAAGCAAAATAACACCATACCAGACAACTAAAGACTTAAATGTTTCATGTCTTAAAAGAAAATACTTCAAGCAAAAAGGAAATAACACTACATGATAACTGTCTATATATGGAATTATATATGTATGTATGAGGGGATACCCCAAAAAACATGGATTTTTTTTCAAAGTTATGTATTTACATGTTTTACAAAACAACCTTATCACCTTCAAAGTACTCTCAATTACACTTGACACATTTGTCAAATCTACGATTCCATATTTGGAAACATTTTTCAAACTCATCTGTTTGAATGGCTCCCTCAATTTTTCTTCACCTCTTCCATGTCATCAAATTGCAGTCCTTTCATGTTCCTCTTCACGGAAACAAAAAGAAGTTGGCCTGAGCAAGGTGAAGTGGTAAAATTGTGGGGCCAAGAGAGGCATGCTGTTGTTGGGGTTTTTTTGCCAAAAACTGATGCACAGAGTTGGCTGTGTGAGCAGGTACATTGTTGTGGTGGCAAAACCAATCCCTGTCTGCCACAAATCAGACCTTTTTTAAAAATCATTTTATTGGGGGCTCATACAGGTCTTATCAAAATACATACATGCATCCATTGTGTCAAGCACATTTGTACACTTGTTGCCATCATCATTTTCAAAACATTTTCTTTCTACTTGAGCCCTTGGTATCAGCTCCTCATTTTTTCTCCTCCCTCCCCCATCCTCCTCCGTCATGAACCAATCAGGCCTTTTTTGTAACACACTGTTATGCAATCTTTTCAGACTTCTAAATAGAAAGCTTGATTAACAGTCTGACTTGGTCGAACAAGCTCCAAATGCACTATCCCCCTCACATCAAAAAAACAAATGAGCATCATTTTGATCTTTGATTTCACTTGACCAGCTTATTTTGGGCAAGGTGACGATGGCATCTTCCACTGGCTTGATTGATGCTTACTTTCAGGGTCATAAAAATAGCACCATGTCTAGTCACCAGTAATGACCTTGTTGGTTCTTTTGACTGTCAGTGGTAATTTCAATATTCTTCACCAGCATCATAATTCAAATGCATCAATTCTTCTTTGGTCTTCATGATTCAGTGTTCAACTTTCACATGCATAAGAGGCAATTGAAACTACCATGACTGGGTCAGGCTCACCTTAGTCCTCAAAATAACCTCCTTGATTTTCAACACTTTAAAGAGCTCTCGTGCAGCAGATTTATCCATCACAATGCATTGTTTTATATTTTGACTGCTTTTCCATGGGCATTGATTGTTGATCCAACCAAGATAAAACCCTTGACAACTTCAATCTGTCCTCCGTTTGTCATGATGTTACCTATTGGTCCAGTTGTGAGGATTTGGGTTTTCTTTACATTGAAATTATCATTCATACTGAAGGCTGCAATCCTTGATCTTCATCAGCAAATGCTTTAAGTCCTCCTCACTTTCATCGGCCAAGGTTGTATCATCGGAATATCACAGGCTGTTAATAAGATCTCCTCCGATCCTGGTGCCACCGTCTTCTTCATGTAATCCGGTCTCTCTGATTAGTTGCTCAGCAAATAGACTGAATAATGATGGTGAGAGTAGACAGCCCTGATGCACACCTTTCCTGATTTCTAACCATGCCGTAGGCCCTTGTTCTGTTTGCACACGTGCCTCTTGATCCACATATAGGTTCTGCAATAGCACAATGAAGTGTTCTCAAATTTCCATTCCCCTCAAGGCTATCCATCATTTTT